TCCCCATTCGGGTAAGAGGCTGAAGTGGGGATGAGAGCAGTGGTTGGAATTGAACCGATGAGAGACTGAATGGTCACGGTGTTGTGAAGACACCATGGAACTCAACAGGAAAAATGCTAGGAAGGGAAGTACACAAGGTACCATATTGGGATTGGGGTGGGGGGTGAAGAGGTAAGGACAGTGAGGATGGGCCCATCTTCACAGACACCTTCCTGTTCTTTCAAAGTCAAGTCACCAAAGCTATTTGAGCTATTTGCATATGGGTCAAACAGCCACTACTCGCCCTCAACATATCCTTGTGAAAATACCAAGAAATGGGCAATGTCTTTTTTTTTTCTTTTTTCTGAGACAGGGTTTCTCTGGATCGTTTTGGAGGCTGTCCTGGAACTTGCTCATATAGACCAGGCTGGCCTCAAACTCACAGAGATCCACCTGCCTAAGCCTCCCAAGAGCTGGGATTAAAGGCGTGTGCCACCAACGCCCGGCAGGCAACGTCTTTTGAAAAGACTACTGTAAACAAGCTAAGGACACACACCTCAATACTTGAAAAATAAACTTCGGTTGTTTGAGGACGACGCAGAGAGGAGTTTCCACTGTTACGTGCTATATGTGGGTTTACTTCAAAAAGACAATGCCACATTGCAAAGAAGCAAACAGTTGCCAGCCCTTTTGTAGAAGCCAAGTCTCTACAAAACCACGGAAGTAAGAGTTATCCTAGAGAAGCCACATGGTGCATCCGCAGCTACTGAGTACCCATCTGTCCGCTCGACCTCCTCACATGTGGCAGTTTATGGAAAGGCTGCAATCTAGAAGCCAAGATTAAGTCCGGTGACTACAGGAGTTAAACCTAGAGTATATTGTCCTACGTCCTGGTTGACTTTCTATGACTGTGATAAACACCACAATCCAAGCAGCGTGAGGAGGAAAAGGCTCATTTGGGTTCACAGATTATAGTCTGTCATTGAGGGAAGTCAGAGCAGGAACTCAAGGCAGGCACTTGGAGACAGGAACATAAGAGCGCTGCTTAGTGGCTTGCTCTCTCAGCTTGCCCAACCTTTCTTTCTTTCTTTTTTCTTTTTGGTTTTTGGAGAAAGGGTTTCTCTGTGTAGCTCTGGAATCTGTACTGGAACTCACTCTGTAGACCAAGCTGGCCTCGAACTCACAGAGATCCACCTGCCTCTGCCTCCCAAGTTCCCGGGTGCTGGGATTAAAAGTGTGCCACTAAAGCCCAGATTGCCCAACCTTTCTTATATAGCCCAGGGCCATCTGTCCAGGAGCAGCACCACCCACAATGGGATAGGCCCTCACACATCAGTCATTAATCAAGAAAATGACCCCACAGACTTGTCTAAAGGCCAATCTTAATGGTGGCATTGCCTCTCAGATGACTCTAGCCTGGGTCATGTTGACAACACACTAACCAGTGCGTCATTCTTCGAAGAAAACACAGCCCTGTTGCTATGCCAGCAAAACGTACTCAAAGCACACTAACAGGTTGCTACACTATGGAAAAGGCTTTGAGTGCTAGAAGCCCAGCCCCTGTGCAGCCATCATGACAGATGGTGGGACCTTTTGCAAGGGGGGCCTAGATGGAGGTAGTTATGTCATGGGGACCCCACCCTGAGAATACACGAATTCTGATCGTCTGGAGTGGGTTGGTTCTGAGCGGGAGGAGGCTTTTACAATGATTGAGCAAGGCCCCTGAATTAGCTCTTGCCTCCCATGTTCCACAAGATCTCTCCTTTGCAAGTTCCAACCACAACTGCAGGCCCCATGCCATGATGCAGGCAGAACTCATCCTATGGTTGAGCAGATGGGGTCACCTTTCTGCCTCCAAAACAGAGAGTCCAATGAACCTGTCTTTATTTTATTTCAGTTTTTTGTCTTTTTGAAACAGGAATTTCTCTGTGTAGCAGCTCTGGCTGTCCTGAAACTCACTTTGTAGACCAGGCTGACCTCCAGCTCACAGAGATCACCGCCTCTGCCTCCCAAGTGCTGGGATTAAAGGCGTGCGCCACCATCACCGGCATGAACCTGTCTTTATACAGTTCCTAGATGAGTCTTTGGTCCTTGCAACACAAAACAGTAATGTTTGCTTAAAAACAACAGCATCTCCTCTGGGGGAAATGCATGAGAAACTCATGGGGGAGGGTAATTATAACCAAGAAACACATTAAAGCCCAAATGCATTAGAGCCCAGCACCTAAACTGAACCTGGTCTTTCAGAAGAAAAGTTCAACAGCCACTTCATGAGCTAACACTGTGCTAAGTATAGAACAAAAAGCACTGTCACGGACTCTTACAGTTTCTGTACCCCTGGAACTTGCCGTCACTGGGGAAGTTCATGAATAAGATGCATAGGACTAACACTCTACATTTAAAATGGAGGGGTCATGAAGAGGAATCTGGATAAAAGGCAAAAGGGAGATTTTCAAAGGTATTTATAATAAGTGCCCAGTCTCATGATAAGACATATTATGATAAGACAGGGCTGCCCAATGAAACCAAGGACCATGAGAAGGCAAGGCGGGCCTGGGCAGGTATGTGGTCTGAGGATGGAGCCTGTGGCTGGATTGTGTTGTGGCCTCCAACATCAGAGCCCCTCTCCAGTGCCATCCCAAGGGGACTGACTTGGTGACCTATACAACTCAAATGGAACTGTGCAACCTGTTTTCCATGTTCTGGTTTTCATTTGTACCCTAGGCTAACCAGAGAATGTCCTGAGTTCATTGCTCCACACCCCAGAGGGCAAAGCCAACTGTCCATCTCCTATTGGAGAGATTTAAGTGGAGGCCACAGGAGTAGATCCGCCCACTTATCTTAAGCCATGCTGCAGAGTTAAGCTAATTATGCTTGGATGGGATGCAGTGTCAATTACTGCTGGAGTGGCCTGGCCCACCCAGTACCTGAATTGTTCTCTCCTCTGACTTAACCCCTATTGAGCTGGGATCAACTACTACAGTCACCCATCTGCCCAAACGATGATCGCCCCTGAGTCTGTGCATGCATGAGTCTCCATAGGAATCCTAGCCCACAGCGACCTATGTGACACTGTTCAGAGCTGACCTGATTGATGCCTCGCACACAAACTGCAATTGTTCCCAAAATAAATGATTCCTTTTTTGTCAATTTTATTGGCATGCCTGCCCCATTTGGGGGGGTGGTCGGGAGTTCAACTTCCAGAACTGCAGGGAAAGAATACCGTAAGGGATTTTGTCAGTTTTATTAACATGTAATAGTTTTTTGTGTGTGGGGGGTGGGGGTGGGAGTGGGGATGTTGGTTACAGGTATACTTGCCCTTTCAGAGCAGGGAAGTGGGTGTCTCTCTATTGTTCTCTGACTTATTGCCTTGACACAGGCTCTCTCACTGACCTGGAAGTTCAGTTTTTCAGGTAGGAAGGCTGACAAGAGACAGGATCTGCCTATCTCTGCCCGCAAAGCTAGGATTATAAGTGCCCGAAGTCACAGCTGGTTTTCAGTTTTACACTGGTGCTGGGAATTCAAATTCTGGTCCTTATTGCTCACATAGCACTCTTATCCATTGGACCATTCCCCCTCCCCCAGCCCCTTAAATAATAATTGTAAGGACTGCAGGTGTAGCTCAGTGGTCGAGCACTTTTCTAAACAAACATCAGGGCAATGGAACCAATCACCCAATGGTAATTTACATCGAAATCAGCTGTGCCATGTTTGGATGTCCAGGATGGTCTGGTTCACATAGAACTCGCTCCTGAACTGGCAAGGCTGTCGGCAATCATAGAACAAAGGCCAACACACAAGTCCCAGCACACCAAGCCTACACAGCAGGGGGTAGTGCCAGGGTCTGGACTATTGCTGTAGATTTCTCTTGCCCTACCAGGTCCAACAGGCGCTTTAGTCCCAAATGAACAGACTTATATTAAACTGTTGGCTGATGACTAGGGTTTCTTATTGACTAGATCTGTTTTAATTATTAACCCGTTTCTATTAATCTATGTATTTCCATGTGATCTTGACTTACCAGATAATGCCCGCATCTGTTTCTCCTTTGGCTGGCGACTCTTTCCAGCACTTCTCTGCCTATCTTTCCCAGAATTCTCCTTGTCTCCTAGCCCCACCTATCTTCCTGCCTCTATTAGCCAAACAGTGTTTTATTCATCAACCAATAAGAGAAACATATATACAGAAGGGCATCTCCCATCACAGGACAAAGTTAACAATCCTACCTTCCAACTGAGAAGAGCCGGCACTGAGCCATTGATGGCTGCACCGGATCATGTCTCAAAGCTATTCTGTTTTGCTAATTTGTTTGATATGGGGATGGGGTTGTTGCTCTGTGGCCCTGACTGGCCTCAAACTTGTAGTTATCGTCCTACCTCAACTTCCCTGCCTATTTCTTTTAACCAGCTCTGGACAGGTAGCCCCTCTGTACTGCAATCTGCACACCCAGGAGGTGGTGTTCATGTCTTGCTGCATACAAGTGCAATCCCACAACCAGCTGTACCACAGACACAGACTCAGTCAGAATTTTCTCAGCAAACCTATTATCTTCATTTTTGGTTCACTTCAGCATTTAGTCTTCATACTTAGCTTGTGACAGGGACTATGGCAGGACTGATATTCTGCTCTCTTCAGGACTTGAACAGCCAGTCTTAACCAGCTAAAACAAAGACTCACAAAGTATTGATTTAATTTGGCAAAGGCAGGGAGATCTCTGAGTTTGAGGCCAGCCTGACCTACATAGTGAGTCTATCTCACAAAAAACAAAACAAAACAACAACAAAAACCCATAGCATTTTCACAGCACCAATTTCCCAAAGGTTCTAGTTTGTATGGTAGGAAAAAAAACGCATTCATACAAATCGATTCTACTCCCCCTCACTCAGCAAGCAAGCTTCTCCCAACTCTGCCATCTTCAAATCCCTCCTGGTCACGCCATGTTTATGCCACACAGCCCAAACATTTTCTGAGTGTCTTTTACACCATAAGCTTGTTCAAATGTGGTAATTAACAAATGGAACTCCAATGCAAAACATTTTAATAAGTTGTCGGATATACAGTTATTAGAATTATCTAAATATCACTTATAAAAATTGGCATATCACATTAAATGATTCTAGAAACACAATGATGACTCTTACACTCCATATCCTGTCAACGGTACAAATTACAAACCCTGAAAAAGAAAAATAGAGACATTCAGACATTTACACCCAAGTACAGCAATACATTCATTCATCAAGTATGGGAGGGCTGGCACCGCCACCTGTGGTTACTGTGGACACAATTTGGGTGCCATTTTCGACGGTTTTATATGTCTTCCAGTATAGATCCAACAGCAGAGTATCTTCATATGCCTTTCCCCTTATCTACAGGGGATCACAAACCCTATCTTCAATAATTAAACTCTTAATCCTGTAAGTGGACACCAAGCCAAAGTTTAACCACATTTTTAAAAATGTAAAAAACAAACAAACAAACAAAAACAACTTTGACTTTCTACTAACTTAATGGCATGAATCATGGTGGCTCTTAATAAAGCTAGCAGAACAAGTTGGAAGACTTTCAAAATTGCCAGCAAAGAAGCCGACTCCTTCTCAAAATACCAGGATTTTATGTTATAATTCAATTACTTTGAAGCAAAGAAGTAACACACTGGCGATTTAAAATCTGAGGTCTAAAATGTTCACACTAGTAAGGGGTAACCGCAGTAACACTATGCTAATATTGTTCTAGAGGTGAAGCTACACATGCCTTCACGAGCAAAGGTGGAATTTAAAATCGTTTTATGTTATCTCTAACTGCCACCCAGCTGGAGAGTCAAGTGGAGGTGACAGTTCTGCCTCACCAACCTCGCCTCACAGCCCAAAAGTCAAAACTTATCTGCCTTGTTTGTAACTCAGTACTTACCACTTAGTCTCTACCCGAACGCTATCCTTAACAGCTTTCAATGCAGGTGTCTGCAGATCTCTGTGTTAAGGGAGTCCAGTCCCTAGCAGCCACTCCAGCTAGTTAGACTTGACTGGTTCACAGATGTACACTTGAGAGGGGTTGGAAATGCTGGACAAAGCGGTGCGGCTTGGTGAAGGAATCTGAGTGGACTGAGGGGCCAGGTCTCCAGAAACTACCCTGAGGGTAACTGCATTCTAAAAAGGACTTGCTGTTTCCAGGCAATTAAGCTATTGCAGGGGGAGACAGAAAGGGGCAACGCAGCCACAAAGAGACAAGAACGTCAAGGTCAGGGGTCTGGAGACAAGGGCAGCAGTGTAAATGGCCGGTTAAACAAAGCAAGTTTAAACATCAGACCTCAAGAGGCTTGTTATTAACATTGGGCATTCAAAGGACAGCCACAGTGCTGGTCATTTCCCAGTGCAGTCCTCCCTCTTGCCTACACATTCCAAATTCAAAAATAAATGAGAAAACTGCAATTGAATTATGGAAATTCGTTTTCCCTCAAATGTTATAAAAATTTGATAGCTCATAGGCCCAATGGGTAGAGCATCGATGTAGAGAGATCACAGACCTCTAAATTACAGGACATCACAGTTCAGAAAATAGTTCTTACTCAGTTGAGCAGCCTGCAGTGTAGACAGGCAGGGTGCACAGGCCCCGTTCAGGCACACAAAGCAAAGCATCCCAACCTACTTTAATTCCCCGGCTGTCAAGAGTCTCTTACACACATTTTCAAAACGCTCTTGAAAGACTATTTAAATATTTAGCAACAATTATAATTTATGCAACTTCCATCCATATTAAAATAATTAATGTAAATACTTTATTATAAAACTATTTTACAATTTAAACTTTTTATTTGAGAAACGTATTCACATCCATGATTTCTTAAAAGTCCTTTCCATGAGTGCATCCCATAAGAAATACACTAAAATCATGTTGGGCGGGGAGGGGCTAGCATTCCCATCAGTCCAAATCATCTCATTTGCTTAGCTCTTAAGTACCTGTGTGTTCATATATGCTTGGCTAGTGATGGATGCCCCGTCCCCAAAGTGGCAAATCTCAGCATCATCTTACAATACAGGACAGACTAGAAAACACCACAGGTTGGTTACATAAACACATTGATCACATCATCAAAAAGCATAATCGAAAAGCAACAGTGGTAAAATGTAAACAAGAAGAAATGAATGTTAATCCCGTCCCTGAAAAGCAGAGATAAGAATCACTTCCTGTTTTATTCAGACAAAACCTAGTCTTCAGAAAGGCAGGATGCTGGCTTCCAAAATGTTTCAAATAGCTGTAGATGAAGACTTTTACTGAGCTAAAGTGTGCCCAAGGCTTTGCGTACTTGAGTTGACTTACCCATCATATGTATGTAGCCTGACACCATCCCAAATTGCCTCTTAAGATTAAATAGTGTTCCCCAGATGAGCTTGAGAGTTACTGAATCACACCATAAGAAAAAAGGTAAGACTCGGCTGGGCGGCGGCGCACACCTTTAATCCCAGCACTCGGGAGACAGAGGCAGGGGGATCTCTGTGAGTTCGAGACCAGCCTGGTCTATAAGAGCTAGTTGCAGGACAGCCTCCAAAGCCACAGAGAAACCCTGCCTCGGAAAACCAAAAAAAATTTTTTTACCAATAGATAAGTAGCTAACTTGAAAAAAGGTGGTGGGTGTGAAATAAACATAACACTTATAAATCTATTTTTTCCAGGAGAAGTTGCCTGCCTTTGCTCTGAGTGAAATTAAACTATGATTCCTTTGTTAGATGCCACAGGAGTGAGACCTAGGTAGGATTCCGGTCTATATCAGGCACGGCATTCTGTCACTGCCTAACCAAATTCCAAGAAATGCATCTATGCTAAGGCCTGAAAGGAAATGGGGATGTGTTTTTTGAAGATGGAATTTTTTCTTAATGGAAAGACTCTCAAAAATGATTTAAAGAAGAAATAAAACCAAGTCTCCACCATCCACCTCTCTGAAGCCACAGATTGGCGATAAAAGCATTGCTCTTCATGGCAGTTTTCACAACAGAGCAAATGAAGACTTTTTCATAAATAAAATCCTTGAGAAAAGAAAAAGCAATTTGTTCTTTACAAATCGTCTCTCTTCTCCTGACCCTAGGGAGGAAAAACTTGTACTCTTGATTCCAAGGTTGCTGCTGCCGCCGCTGCGGCCAGTCGTGCGCCTCGGCTCACCCATCCCACGGAGGGCAGCACTGAGCACAGAGGCGGGACTGCGGGAACCCTGCTGGTGGAACGCACCCTTGCAAGCACCTTTTCTCCACTGTTCTCTGCTGTTTAACGTGGAGCCCACACAGCCTCGGTTCTGTGTTAAATGTTCTCTGGTTTTAGGGAGCTCGGGCACACTGGTCCTGGTGGAGACACCCTGCGCTTTCCAGATCTTAAGGTAGTCTGACAACGCCATAGTGTACATCCGGCTCACCGGCAACGCTGGGTGGACAGAGATTCCATGGTGACTGCCTTACGCAAAGCTACAGGAATTCTGAATGACTGAGTAATGGTTTGCACTTTGTAAAAGTGTTACAGCTGTTTACTCCCTGACCCACACATTCCCTGCTCGACGTTCCTGTTCCTGTTTCTTTATGCTTCATAGTTTTCTAATGAGCAAATTAGTATTCCTGAGTAAGAATATAAAAAAGTTAACCTTCTACCAAAAGTATAAAGACAAATAAAACGTTGACTCACAATACAAACTTTTTTACAGAGCATTACAGGTGCACAGCTAATGCCTGTGGCTCTCCGCGGTTTTGGCCCACTCCTTCATAGACTGCCGTGATGCTCAACTGTCTAAAATACTCCGAAGTACAGCAATCAAATGCTTCAGACCGTAAACATAGCCCTCATCTACTGTGTTGCTAGGGAACACATGAGCAAAGTCTATCATCCGCACTTCTACTTCTGTGATCTCCTGAGGACCCGCAGGAAGGTGGTAGAACACCTTTTCCAGTTGGGAGAGGACGTTTCCGTTCAAATGTTCCTGGGACATGCTTTTCCATCCGTTGTCTTGCTCCAGAGTCTCAACTTTCAATGAAGTCTGACTGTGGTGCTTTTTGGAGTACAGCTTCCTGTGTCTTGCGTACACCTTGGATAAGCTTTTGCCTACTGATGTCCCATTGGCCGGGGAGCCGAACAGGTGATAGTTGTTATTGCACTCCAGTGCGTCTGCGTCCGACAGGTGGCCTTTGGAGAGGAACTTCCCTGCCAAAGTTCTATCATTTGATTTTGTAGTAGCTGGCTGAGATGAACCTTCATAAACAAACAGTAATGAGCTTGCATAAAAGTTAAGCTGCTTCTGACTTTCAAACCACTGGAGAATCTTCTCGACCTTCTGAATACTGGCAGCAATCGCATCTTTTCTTAAACAGAAGCCATTGTGGAAAAACTTGGAGACACCTGTAAAGGAGACACATCAGTTAGGGTCAAACTGTGCGGCGGCCACTTGTAGAATAAGCTCACAGCAGATACAATTCCTCACTCTGCCATGCCATGCCTTCAAGCTAATCAAATCATTAACTCCTCAGTGAGTGACACCTAGTAACACAGACCATAATGCTCTGATAAAGAACTCTTAATAGAACCAGGCAGCGGTGACGCACGCCACACCTTCAGTCCCAGCACTCAGGATTGAAGGCAAGCAGGTCTCTGTGAGTTTGAGGACAGCCTGGTCTACAGATTGAGTTCCAGGACAGCCAGAGAGAGCTGTTACACTGAGTAACTCTGTCTGGGGTGTGTGGGTGGCGGGGTATGACTCCTAATAAAAATTACTCAATTGATACCAATATTCCAAAATTAAAGCAAAATTCCTACTAAGACAAACACTCGTTGCAGCTAGACAGGTGGTTTAGCTCTTGCTATAAATGGCATTGGTATTGAGAAGGAACGCTAAGGCCTGGGGTGCAGGCCCGTGCCAGCAACGCAGACGGCCGAGGCAGGAAGATTACATGTTCAAGGCCTGCTGGACCACAGTGAGCACAGGCCAGAGTGGGGAACTTGGTGAGTCTCCGGCTCAAAATTAAAAGCAAGAAGATGGCTAGTGTTGCATATTGTGACAGAGCACCTGCCCAGTATACACTGGAAAAGGAGAGAGGAACTGAGAGAGGAACTGAGAGAGGGGGAAGGAGACTATTAGCCCTCTTTTTAATCCACACCTTAATGGGCTGAACAAATGGTTGAGCAACTAATCACTGGCCACTCTTCCAGAGGACTCAGGTTCATGCCCCTGTACCCACATGGGCTCACAACCATCTATAACTTCAGTCCCAGGGATCTGATCCCTCTTCTGGCCTCTGAGGGCACCAGGCAGGCATGCACAAGGTGAACTTACACATATATAGGGGGGGAAATCCATACATCTAAAATAAAAATAAATCTTAAAAAAGTAAAGTTACACTGAAATATTTAATCATACTTGGGAATGTACAGGTTCGGCAACTTGCTTTTATGAGACACAAACTGTTCAGAAATGAAGTTAATCATCAAGGAAATGCAGATCAAAATAACTTTGAGCCTTCATCCTACACCAGTCAAAATGCCAAGATCAATAAAACAAACGACAGCTCATGCTGTCAAGGGTATGGGAAAGAGGAACACTCATTCATTGCTGGTGGGAGTGCAAGCTTGTACAGCCACTTTGGAAATCAGTGTGGTGTTTCCTCAGGAAGCTAGGAATTGATCTACACCAAGATCCAGTTATACCACTCTTGGGCACAAGGATGCTTCATGTGTTTCCTCAGGAAGCTAGGAATTGATCTACACCAAGATCCAGTTATACCACTCTTGGGCACAAGGATGCTTCATCTTAACAGCCAGAAATCAGAAATAAACTAGGTCTGTCAACAGATGAATGGATAAAGAAAAATATGATAAATTACAAAGTTGAGTATTACTCAACTGTTTTAAAAAAAATGAAATCATTAAATTTGCAGGTAAATAGATGGAGCTAGGGAAAAAAAATCATCCTCAGTGAGGTAACCCAGACCCCCAAAAGACAAACATGGTATTCATTTGTTCATATGTGGATGTTGGCTGCTAAGTCTTCAGTAAGCGGGCTGCAATCCATATAATCACAGAGGTTAGGTGTACAGTAAGGGACTAGGGAGGAGGTTGGGTCACCCTAGGGTGGGGAAATAGAATAGTTATAGATAGGGAGTGTAGTGTTTGAATGGGAATGGTTCCATAGGTTCATAGATTTGAATGTTTGGTTATTAGGGAGTGGCACTATTAGGAGGTGTGGCCTTGTTGGAGGAAGTGTGTCACTGGGGGTGGACTTTGAGGTATCAAGAGCCCAAGCTCAGCTACAATGTCTGCCTGAATGCTGCCATGCTCCCCACCCTGATGATCATGGGCCAAACCTCAGAAATTGTTAGCAAGCCCCAACTAAATGTCTTTCTTCATAAGAGTCGCCATGGTCATGGTGTCTCTTCATAGCAACAGAACAGGAGGATCAAGTGGGGGGGAGGAGGGAGTGGGGAGGGGAGACAGGGACTATGGGAAGAGACAGCTGAAGTTAAGGGCCATTTGAAGGGTTGTATGGGAATCTAACACAGTAGATGTTTCCTAAATATATTATGAAGGTGATCTACACGGAATCGTCAAATAATGGGGAGATGGAGCCCCAGGTGGACATCTCTCATCACCAAATGAAGCGTCCTGTTGAAGAAATGGATTACAACTAATTGAGTTGTTGACCAAAGGGACCCTCATGGGAACCCCTCAAGCAATCCAGGCTATGGCCAAGGCTATTGGTTGCTACCCACAAACTGATGGTAAGGCCTATTGCTGAAGTACCTAAATAAGTCGCTGAACATGCAGAAGTTGAGCTGGTCCCTACCTAGAGCCTTCACCCCTAATGACTAGTGCTCATGGTATGGGAAGGTACACTGCATGCTACCAAAAGAGAAGGGTAAACCCCAACCCAGCTATAAACCCTTCGATCTATAAGGGTGGACTACCTTCAAAATGCACTAATGCAATAGTGGCCTAAAGATTATGGGACTAACCAATTAATACCTGAATTGAGTTAAGGCCCACTCCACGAGATGGAACCCATCCCCAACATGGCTCAGGTGGCCAGGAACCAGACTAGATAGGCCAGGAATGTACGGGTAAACCAAAAACTACTGTTCTGTTAAAGAGTCGGAGCAATGAGATGACACCTAGTGACAGGCTGCTATATGTATACATCAGTGTCTTGCTCAACCATCATCAGAGAAGCTTTTTCCTGCCATAGATGGGAGTACAGAGAGAGAGAGACTCATAGCCAGACAGTGTGCAGAGAGTGAAAGACCTCGGGACACTCAGCCCTAAATGGGATTCTCCATCAATTCCCTCCCCTCATGTACCAGGGAATTCTGTGGAAGTGGAAGAGGAGAGGAAAGAATATAAGTGTCAGTGGGGATGGAACACACCAAAGCAACAAGGCCTTCAAAATACAGCATATGTGAACACATATGAGTTCACAGAAACTGCAGCACACACAGGACCTGGCCTGTACAGGTCTGGGTCTCATGGGGCTTCCAGCGCTGAGAGGGGACGTGAACACAAGCCCATTACTAACACAGAGGCTATCTCCAATTGGTAACTGCTCTCAAAAGAAAAATTAGTTTTCTCCAGTGGAGTCTCACTAGATGTACAAACCACTCTTCAGGCCAGGCCCCATGCCCAGCAGGAGATGCCAACACAAAACGAACTCAATGGCATTTTTGGAGGGTCTTTGTCTCATAATGCTTTGTCAGTGCCTTTCTTTCTCTTTACATTATTGGTCCTTTGCATATATGTTATTGTTTCTGGGTTTGTTTTTATGGGATGTGTGTGTGTGTGTGTGTGTGTGTCTGTCTGTCTGTGTGTGTGTGTGTGTGTGTGGCCGCATGCCTGTGTGAATAAACGTGAATTTTTTTGTTTGCTTTTGTTTTCCTATTCTGGTTTGTTTTAATTTTATCTAATTTTACTTTATCGCTTCTTTTCTTTTGTTTTTTTTTTAGAGGTGGGGTTTCTCTGTGTAGCCCTGCCTGCCCTGAAACTCACTCTGTATAGACCAGGCTGACCCCAAACTCAGAGATCCACTGCCTCTGCCTCTGGAGTGCTGGGATTAAAGGTGTCCATGACCACTACAGGTCTATTATTGTTAATTTTAGATGCCTGTTTGTATCCTAATAAGAAAAAGGAACGGTTTGGATTTAGGTGGGTGAGAAAGTGGAGAGGATCAGGGAGGAGCTGGGCAAGGGGAAATCAGAATCAGAATATGTTGAATTAAAAAAATGAAAACTCATTTTCAATTAAAGAAAGAAAAAGAAGAAAATAAAATCAAATAGGATCAAACTACAGCCCGGGACACAGGGGTGGGGAGGTGGGGACGGGTGTGTGTGTGTCTGTATCTATATATTTCTTAAATAGTCAAATTAAGTACCAGCTTGCTTTGATTAAGTATGTAAAAAACAGTAACTAGCCATTAAGTTACACCGAAGATATGTTTTCTGTACCCTCCCACAGGTTCTACATTGCAAGTCAACTTTTCATAGAGCCAAGAATCACTGTCTTCAGGTTTCTATTGCTATGAAAGACACCATGACCACGGCAACTCTTAGGAAACATTTGATTGAGGCTTACAGTTTCAGAGGTTCAGTCCATTGTCATCACGGCGGGGAGCATGGCAGCTATGAGTAGGGTGGTATGCAGGCAGACGTGGTGCTGGAACTGAGAACCCTACATCTTGACCAAAGGCAACAGGAAGGGAACTGACTCACTGGGCATGGCTTGAGCATATATGGGACTTCAAAGCCCACCTCAACAGTGACACACTTCCTTCAACAAGACCTCACCTACTCCAACCAGGCCATGCCTCGCAATAGTGTCACTCCCTTTGGGGTCATTTTCTTTCAAACCATCACAAACACCTAATGCAAAACTATTTTCTAAAAGACAGGTGTCCTTTTGTAATGTCTGGATCACCAGAATTTTACAGAAGCATATATGTTAATGGCTTATGAAGACCTCCCCACCTGCTTATTCATCAATAACCATAGAAGTTTCAAAGCTACACAGCAGAAACTAAAAGAAGACACTCCACATGAAACAGCACCTTCAAGTCTCTTGTGTGATGAGCAATTTATGTATAATTAACACTTAATATACTTTGTTAATTTATAATTAAATCCCAGCACTAGGGAAACAGAGGCAGGCAGATCTCTGTGAGTTCAAGACCAGCCTGGTCCACCGAGTTCCAGGACAGGCTCCAAACCAATATAGAGAAACCCTGTCTTGAAAAAAAACAACTTTGATACTGAGGACTGAGGTGGGGCAATGGTGTTCAGGTATTTGTACTTTAGGAATGCACACTGCTACAAGCTAGCTCTGTGATGACTCCCTAAGACCCCATGTTAAATACATGGTATGAGGCAGCTGTAGGATTTTGAGAGGTGGGCTAATAGTACACAGGTCATTAGGGGTCTCCCTGCCTCCTGGTCACCAGAGAACAGAACAGATTTGCTCCCCATGGCTCCTCCAGTGACGTGCCCAAAGCAAAGAAGCCACCACATACACACTGAAACTGAACCAGAATAAAGGCTTCTTCCTGGGTGGGCTGTCCTAGAGATAAGACACTAACGAAAGTGTAAAAGGAAGGGGGCACTCATAATCACACTTGGCGTATATTAGGGTCCAGGGATAATGGTAAACCTACTTCTGTCTATTTAGGTTGCTTTTTTTAAGTTTATGAGTTGAATCGTTTTTCCACAGGAGAATCAAAACAAATGCAATGGAGAAGCATCTTGCTAACTGCAATAGCGAAGCGTTCACTTTCGGCACTCACCTTCCTTTAATGTCTCTTTTGTTAAGCTTCTTCCGTAGTGCTGGTTCTGTGTCTCGTAGCTGTCAGAATGAACATGATAAACCTGTCAAAATAAAAGAGCAGTGAACATTCAAACACGAATATGGGTGCCCTTGGCCATGCGGGGTGATTTCACGGCTAGTTACACGAGCCCTCATGAGCATGTGAAGAGACATACTGTCACATGGTCACACCAGCAGGGCTAAAAGAGCACCTAGCATTCAGGTGCTCCACTTCTGAGAAGCTGCTAAGAGTAACACAGATTTTCAATATGATAGAATTGCCTTTTCCAACCCATCAGAATCAATCACAAATTTATAATAGTGCCAAGATGAAAGCATTTCCTAATATTGCAAGTTTAGCCAAGCTTATCGTCACATGCCTCAACACTTGGGGAAGCGAAAGATTAGAAGTTCAAGGTCACCCTTGGCTACACAGCAAACTATATGAAACTGCCACAGAAAAAGAAGTTTTGAGTGAAGAGGAGCTGGAATATAACTCAGTTATACTTTCCCAGCACGCAAACAGCCCTGGGTTCACTCTCCAGCCCCAATAAAAGCAGGTGTGGCCACAGAGGCCTGTAATAGCAGCACTTGGTATGAGATAGAGCAAGAGGATCCAAAGTCCAAGGTGAGTTCATCCACACAGCAAAGATGCCAAGCTGAGACACAAGAAAGGCCATCTTCAAAAAACAAAAGCTTCCCCCAAAAGTGCTTTTGCTACAATGTCTTTTATCATTATTTCCATCTAAAATTATTCTAGAGTCAGGTAGGATAGGTGGTGGTGCATACCTTTAATCCCAGTTTAGGGGAGGCAGAGGCAGAGAGGTCTCTTAAGTTCCAAGCCAGCCTGGTCTACAAAAGAGCTCCAGGACAGTCAAGGCTACATGGAGAAACCCTGTCTTGAAAAACCAAATAAATAAATAAAAACAAAATGGAAAAAATTAAGATCATTCTAGAGTCATTAGCACATGCAAACAGACGAGAAAAGGAAATGAGCTGAAGACATGGCTGAGTCCTTAAGAGCTCGAAGTCCAGGTGTGGCGGTGCGTCTTTATACCAGCACTCGGGAGGCAGATGAAAGATCTCTGTGAGTCCAGGCCAGCATGGTCTACATAGTGACAGAGGGCTATGTACAGAGACCCTGTCTGAGGAAAGGCGGAAAACCCTGTACTGTTCTTGCAGAAGACCTGTGCTCAATTCCCAGCACCAAACTGGGTGGCTCTCACACCCTCCTGCCACTTCGACTCCAGCATCAGAAGCCAGGGACCTGCTCTCCTGTGCACCTATCCTCCCCGCCCCCCACACACAGTTTGATTGGCTAGAACATGCAACAGAAGCAAAGACAACACCCCCAAGACCTCCAAAATAACTCAACACAAAAGTGTTAGCAACTATACTAAAGACAACCGCCAACTAAAACACAATTACAGTATAACCACCACCATTTTTAGACCATAAACACTAATTCTAAGGCTCACATAGAGCCAGGCACAGGTTCATGCCTGCAGTCCCAACTATGAGGGAGGCCCTAGCAATGGATTTGTTTCAGCCCGAGAGCGTTAGGTCAACCTAGGCAGCATAGGGAAGGGCCTCTGCACAGAAGGTAAAAGAGAGAAGATTCATCAGGGCAACAAGAAGAATAGGGATGCCAAGGCTTTAAAAAGGAGGACTAACAGTAGTATATTGTCTGATATTAGAACACATTTGAATCAAGTACACGTGAGACTTTATGTAACAAAAACTTAGCTCACTGTGAAAAAAATGGACCATTCATTAAGTGGTGTCAGTCTAGTTAAGAAAAAAGATGCCACAATAAATCCCAAACACATCCAAGATCAAAATATACAACAACAATAATAATTAAAAACCCCAAAGCCCTCTCTTCAAAGATCAAAGACTAATGCTTGAGGAACTGACTAGTACAGAAATCTCCATGCCATATAATGCAGCGTTTCTATACTGAAAAAAATCTACATACAAGTAGAGAAAATCTCTGTGAAATTTCTCTCTGAACACAGTGCACGATCCCACTTCAAAAACAGAGCAACTGAGACTTCACAGAAACCACACAGCCCTCATTCTTATTAAAGCAGAGTTCCTGCCCCCAATTCTGACCAGCAAATCCATCTAAGACAAGCCGTGGGTCGTGACCCCTTTGAGGTCAAACAACCCTTTCACAGGGGTCACCCAAGACCATCAGAAAGCACAGATATTTACTCTAGAATTCACAACAGTAGTGAAACTACAGTTAGAAGCATCAATGAGTGCCTGTCTGTGGTGGCATATGCCTTTAATCTCTGCACTTGGGAGGCGGAAGTCCAGTTCCAGGCCAGCCAGGGGGTACACAGTGAAACCCTGTCTCAAAAACACAACAATAACAAAGAAGTATCAATGAAAATAATGTTATGGTTGGGGTCACCACAGCATGAGGAACTGTATTACAGGGTCACAGCATTAGGAAGGCTGAGAACCACGGGTCTAAGACATTGACAAGTGCCAGGCCAGGAGCAAAGCTCCCAGCTAACGACTGCCTCAGCCATCAAAGCTGTAGGCTCACATAAGCCTGCACTCCACCTCACAGACCTGTGCCGGGACAAACCGCACAGTGGTACAAAGAGGCAGACCCACCCCTGGTTCACTGTAACATGGTAGGTAATAACAAAGCCTGGAAACAATCGTGGAGCCACCAAAAGGAGCATGCTCTGTTATGGTGTGATACTACGAGCCACTGAGACCTTGGGATATGTTAAATAGGAAAAAGAGCAAGACACAGACATTTTTGTGACTAACGAGAGAGCTCTGTCTGGTATAGCAACAAAATGACTTTACACAGGAAAAGGACTGCTTTGGTTTTGAAGGGGAGAAGGTTCAATCTGCAACTCAACAGCCCAGCATGGAAAACATGGGTTTTGGTTTTGGTTTTTACAACAAACAACAACAAAAGCCCATAACGAATAGGCAGAAGTTGAATGAAGAGAGAGAATCGGTAGTATAAGGTTTGAGAGCTGGGAGGGAAGGAAAATCAGGGGACACAGGGAGAGCTCCCTTTAGGCTGCAAACCCCATCCTAAGAGAAGGGAAGAGAAGACTGGAGAGCACGTGAGGGGTCAGGAAAGAACTCTGTGGAGTTGACTCGCTCTTTTGCCTTTAGTGAGTTCTGGAGCCACACAAGTTGTCAGGTTTTCGTAGCAAGTTCTTCTGCCTCGTGGACCATTCTGCCGGCCCCTTTTCGTCTTTTTCATATGCTTTATTGATCAAAATATCAAGTCCAGCACGGGATCACTGGCACATTAGCAGTCTCCCACAAAGCTTTCTCCCAATGCCCGTCTAAGACCGAAAGGAAGACCATCTCATCTGTCACTTGACCACGCCTGCAAGCTGAGATCATTGGGCACATCTACACACGCTGTTGGTTTAGAGGACCACGTGCCACATTACTTCCCAGTTGTAGTGACTTCTGCAAAGTGGTTTCAGTAATCTTTCCTTCCCAGCATATGCATTCTGGTACTTGTGTTGTGACATCAGAGGTGGAAAGCGATCACGTGACAGCCCTACAAAACGATGCAAGTTGTCCCTGCTTCTGAGGCTCCTGCTCTGGCCCCAGGGCACAGATGCTCAAGTCAACCCTCTACCAGATGGCATATGGACAAAGGACCAGACCATGAGAGATCCTAACAGCCCCAGTCACCAGATGATGCCAACCCTGTGTCTATCCTGAGGTGAACAGTATATGCAAACATATATCAAAACATATATGTCAGTTAAGATAAAACATTTTATTTTATTTTATTTGGGTTTTTTGAGACAGGATTTCTCTGTGTAATAGATCTGGCTATTCTGGAACTTACACTGTAGACCAGGCTGGCCTTGAACTCACAGAGATCCACCTGTCCCTGCCCCTGCCCCTGCCCCTGCCCCTGCCCCTGCCTCCTGAGTGCTGGGATTAAAGGCATGTGTCACCACCACCTGGCTAAAATATTTTAAATGCTGGTTCATAGAACTATGTGTGAATAAAACAACTGTTTCAAATAAAAATATGAAATAATGTGGGTTTTTTTTCTATTTATAAAATAGTCCCTTTCCATAGCACTTGGAAGGCAGAGGCAGGTGAATCTCTAAGTTCAAGGCCAGCCTGGTCTACAAAGCAGTTACAAACAGTCAGGGTCACACAGTGATACCCTGTTTTAAACAAACAAACACCCAAAGTATAAAAGTTACATTCTTCTAGGGAAGCCACAATGAATATGTAGCTTTTAACACTTATTGTGCACTTAAACTTAAAATTTCTTTAAAACAGAATTGCCAGCAGCATCATTTTAGGGCCTGGTCATTATGTATTAATTATCACATCATCATCTTAGGGCCTGGCATTAATTACCTACTAGAAGTCAGGACCCATCACTGACCACAGCCCAGTGAGCAACAGATAAAGCCCCTGCCCTCATAGCTCACACACGTCATGGAGGACCCAACCGCACAGGGCACCGGCTCTGGGGTAGCACCTGCAGTCCCACAGAATGAGTGGTGTAGAAGGGAAACACACACACCCCGCCAAAACCACTCTTACCCTCATGCCGAGCACCAGGAACCCGATCTCCTCCATCAGAGGGTACTTGCTGACCTGCTGCTGGATTTTCTCTGATGAGGCAAAGGGGTCATAGCTCTTCCGCCCTATCTTCACGTCCATTATGCAGGGCTTATTAAACTTATGAGTCACATCTTCCAGTTTTAGGTACACATCTGTTATCAGAGAAAAGCCTTAATTAACGGCAGGCCATCATATCACTCGGATAGCCTCCAGAGAAGAACGAAGAGGAAATGCTGGAGGAGAAAAGACCTAAGGTAAATCTAGAGTCCACAGATTCATTACCAAGCATAAACACCAGAGAAATCCCTCCCATGTGTGACCGTAGATGTCACAGGAGCAAAGTGAGTGTGCAGCATTAAAAACCATCCCCCATGAACACAAAGCCATCGGGGCTCAGAACGAGATTTCCTAGCTAGTATTTTAAGAATCTTGTAAAGTTTGTTCTTCGTTTGACATCAGTAAGCTGGGGACTGAATCCAAATGACACTACCAAGCTCGCCCTTGCTACTTTGAAAAGCACTGTTGCTCTGCCGCTCGCCTCAGCGCCCTGCACACATCTGCCCACAGAAAACTTGCTGTCACACCACAAAGGCCCCTTCTTGCAGTCTACCTTGAAAGCAAGGACCCAGGTGCAAGGAGAAAAAGAAGAAAGGAAACAATTCTCCCTCTTCCTAAGGAACACAAACCTGTCAACATCCTCAATGAGAACATGACTCATGTTTTAGTTGTCGGGGCTGAGGAGATGATGTGTGGGCAGAGCGCATGCGAGCACCAGGAGTGAGGTGAGTCAGCGTCCCCAGGACCCAGGCAAAGCTGACAAATAGTCTGCAGTCCAAGCCCTCTCATCCAGAGATGGGAGGCAGAGATAAGACCCTTGGGAATTTGCAGGCTTGTCATCTGGTGTATGCAGCAGCCATCAGGGGATCATGTCCCAAACAAGGGAGAAGGTGAGAGTGAGTTCCCAACGTTGTCCTCTGACTGTTACACGTATGCCGTGGCCCATACATGCTCATGCATGCAAAATGTATGTGCGCACACACAGTAAAGCTGGAAAAAGTGTGCATTTCCTCTAAACCAGGTAAAAGGCGCCAAGAGAAGCCCTGTGCACTAACTAATGCCCCTTTTTCCCGTCCCATCCTGACAGGCACAATTTTGAAATTAAATCAAAGATGCTTGTACACAACCAAATGAGAACAACTCGGGCCTTCAGAACTGTCAAGGCCTTCAGACTTATCGGGCTTAAATCTGCAGAGCACGAGGGGTGAAGAGGTAAATGTTATTCCTGTATCAAGCAAAGCAGGCAGGTTAGCATCTGTCAGCGGGACAGCAGCCTGGAAGAGCACTACAAGTAACCTAGGGGCCTGAACCTGAAAGCACCTGCCCAGGCACCTTGACAACAGGTCCCAACACAGCATCAGCACAGGCCCAAATAGCAAAGGACAAGTGGGGGCGCACGCCTTTAATCTCAGCCCCCAGGAGACAGGTAGATTTCTGTGAGTCCAAGGTGGAGGCCAGCTTGCTCTACAGAGTTCCAGGACATCCAGGATACATAGAGAAACCCTGTCTTGGAAAACCAAAACCGATTCCCATTTGCATCTTTTCTTCAAAGTTGTAAAAACTAAACGTCAAAACCTGCTTTGGGCATGCAGAGTTCTAGGTCTCCGGGAATGGGGATGCACGCCTGTCACCTCGGCACTCAGGATGCTGATGCAGGAGCACTGGGCATCATGGTTATCAGGTCAGTCCTGCCTATATAGCAAGAGCTTGTCCCCAAACACACAAAAAGAAAGGCACACCAGTGTTCTTAGGAGAGAACTGGTGCTGTGTCGCGAGCGGCTTAACACAAGCTTTTGAAAGAGCGAAATAAGAAAGTGGGCCACAACCTGAGCACCAGACTGTTAGGCTGACAGTTGTCCATAAACCTGGATACTGTTCACTTTGAAAAATGTCACTAGCAAATTCTCTCAGTGGTGTAAGTAGAATAAAGCTCAAGCCAAAGTAGGTCAGTCTCGAACTGAGTTCTGTAAAGATCAAAGGCATTTTGCTACAGGACTGTCTTCTGAGGCAACTGCACACCAGTAACAAAAGATGTCTTTTCCTGGAGGCCCCTCTGGGTCCAGAGTGGAGCGGTGTTTTTCCATGTGTCAGCTGGAACCACTAATGAACTGTGGACTGAATGGAAGGAGGAAGAGATCCTGGCATGTAGGAAGTACAGATGAGGGGCTGGTCTCCAGCTGTACCGCCTACAGTGTGTCACATGTTGCTCCGCGTCATGGCGCAATACAACTCCAGCCAGTGCTACCCACAGACCTCAGAAGTGCTCCTGTCACAATCTGGAACCCAGGCCACAACCAGTCACTGAGACAGGCAAACATGTGACACTTGGGATTCAGAGGTAACCAACTTGTGACAGTTCTCCGGATCTTCAGTTCATGTCACAGCATGTAGTCCGCCCTTTGTGAGAAGTGAGGGAGCCCTTTGGTGGGAACAGAGGGGAAAGGAAGGGCTGGGGCACGTGCAGAAACAAATGTCAGCTCCTCCGTGTCATGTGTCAGCCCGTGCCATCCTAGCATGTCCCTGGTCTTCAACGGGACACATTAGAGTCCAGCACAGACCCACCATGAAATAGGTGTTAGGGTCCAGAGTGCTGAGGGGGCTGAGGATGTGTCGTCACAGTCCCAGAAGTGCCTCAGTGACAAGGCGCTGCCCTGGGGCACACAGCAACAGTATTTAAGCCCTGCCTTCCAGGGCTGCTTCTGAGGAACAGAAGTAATGTTCTATCCACAACAGCACCTGGTGCCATCTGGTACTCCCTCAGTGCTGGGACTAGACAGCAAGGATACGCTAATAGTGTTAAATATGAACGTGACTGACAGGTATTAAAACCCGTGCAAGGTCATCATGCGTGTAAATTGAACTGCAGCATCCAGGATTAAGTACAAATACAGGCTGATTCCCTGGAGGGAACTCTTCCCCACTCCAGGAAGACAAATATGATGTAATAACCACAAAATAAAAAGGCATAATCACAACTCAATCAGGCACTTGATAATAGATACCCTCTACCCTGAAGCTAATCCTAAGCCTTGGCCCACAGTTAAACATTAACAAGAATGTCTATTTATTACATATTGATTTTATCTCAAGCTGAAAAGAGCTAAGACGGCAAAATGCAATCTGATTGCCAGGCTCAAGTGGGTCCTTGCAGGTGCTCGGCCGACATAAGGTATCCTCCTAATTTCCTCACTTCCCACACAGGCACACGTATCCTCCTAATTTCCTCACTTCCCACGCAGACACACCTGCTCGCACTGCTGCCAACTGCGCCGCTGCCTCTCAACTTTGATCCTGCTAGAGAAAGCCTTATGGATGGGTTTCTATCGTAGGCAGAAAAAACATTGCACCAGACGTGAGAACTGCTTCTCTGTGCTGTATTTCTTTTCTAATATGATGTATCCATAAGCAACAACAACAAAATGATGCAAAACAGAAAATGGCCAGGCGGTGGTGGCGCACACCTTTAATGCCAGCACTCTGGAGGCAGAGGCAGGCGGATCTCTGTGAGTTCGAGGCTGCCTTGTCTACATAGTGTATTACAGACAGTAAGAGGTACATAGAGAGACCCTGTCTCAAAGAAAAGTATGTGTGTGCATCACACACACACACACACAAATACATGCTTATGTTTATTTAAGTCATAACCATCATGCCCAGTTCTCCAAAGAAAATGTTTCTTTTTTAAAATGCCTTTTTAATTTTATGCGTATGACTGTTTTGTCTGCATTTATGTACAGGCACCAAGTGTGTGCAGATGTCTGATAAGCCAGAAGAAGCATCAGATTCCCTGGAGTTATAGGTGGTTATAAACCTAGGATTATATAACCTTATAATCCTAGGTGGGTGCTAGGAACGGAATCCAAGAATAGCCCGTGCTCTTAACCTCTGAGCCATCTCTCCAAGGACCTTGTTCAGCCGGAGTGTCTCGCCACCCAGATCTCTACCCACACTGTCCTCAGCACTAACTGCTCGCTGTCGAGCAGCAGTGGTCAGCACAGCCCACCGGGACCCTGATAACCAAGCTTCCATCTCCGGTCTCATGAACGGCAGTGGAGGCGGAAGGAAAGATGTAACAACCGGAAGTGTGTTCACAACCATGTGCTGCACAGAATGAGGGCCCGTGGATGTGGCGGCACATGCCAGCATCCAGGCAGCAGAGGCAGGTCAACCAGAGCTACACAGTGAGACGCAGTTTCAAAAATATTAAAAAAAAAAAAAAAAAAAGGATCCAAGGGCAGTTACAATTAATGGTCTGTGGAATAATTACTAAGAATGCTATTCTCAATCATAAATATCTGCATATATTTGGAACTAAGACCTTTAAACCAGAGAGCAAGACAGACAGACAGACAGAAAATACTAGACTCCAAGACACAAGCACACTGCGGACTGGAAGTAAGGCAGGAGATAGAAGCTATGTCAGGATGGTCTCGAACTCAGAGATCTACCTGCTTCTGCCTCCCGAGTGCTGGGATTAAAGGCGTGCGCTGCCTGGGCTCTTAATGCTTTACTCCTTAGAGAAGAAACTGACACTTGTAAATTAGTACAGTACTAAGATGTTCTCGTGAAATTGTAGCAGATTTATCAGTTAATGTGTAACATATCGTTCAAGAAAATGTCGATAAAAAGTGAAGTACCAGTGAGTTTTGTTTAGTGAACGTAGGAGAGAGTACACGAGTTCCATATTTTACAGCCTTTACACAGACCCTTCGTAAAGCCAAGCTTGGGAACTAAACCACGAGATGTACTTAAAGCGCCTTACCGTTTGGTGCGGTGGGAGGGGACCAGACACCGTAGTATTTGGGCAGGTGTTTCCGCAGCTCCAGGAGAACAGTGTCGGCACAGTCGGCAGCGTAAACCTGGACAGAGGTGCAGGGCTGGTCAGGTTTCCGTGAGCCCTCAGAAGACCAAGGATAACAGACCCGCAATTCATCCTGCGTGGGTTTGTAATAATAACCAGCTACTTACAGCACACTGTCATGGTGGTCCACGGGGAACAGTCTCCTGTCAATGTCTTTCAACTATTTGCCACCTTTGTGAGTTGTATATAACTGACACCAAATTCAATGTAATCCTCTGAACACAAGGCAAGTAAATTCTGGGGTGTGTGTGTGTGTGTGTGTGTGTGTGTGTGTGTGTGTGTGTGTGTGTGTGTGTGTGTTCCCCACGTGCTTGTGTGTGTAGCAGACAACTTACGGACATCTTTCCTTCCACCATGTAGATCCGAATCAAGCTTGGGGTTACCAGGCTTAGGGACAAGCTCCCTCACTGGCTGAGCCACCTTGGCAGCCCCCTGAAATCATTTGTAACATTGGCCCGGTTTTCTCGCTAAACTAAAGGTTAAAACCAGGGCTCGTCATGCTGAGGGTGTTTTCAGGAAGCGCATTAGGACACAAAACCCACAGAAGATCTGAGGGGACTGCCCATGGGCACAAGAGGGAGAGGCCTTCGGAAGAAACCCCTGAGTGCAGCCTGACAGAGAGGCTAAGTGACAAAAACTTCACTTCTGCATTTCAAGCCACACAACTTGAGCTCGCCACCTAAGCTCCGGCTCCTTGTATATGAGGTGAGCACTACATGGAGGAGAGCTTCCAGATGTTCAGAGACAACACAGGACAGGGGGGAGTGTAATAACAGAGGGAAAGGGAGCTCCCGGTGGGGTGGAGGCACCGTCCTGTGCTCTTAATCAGGGCAATCAATAAAAGCCCAAAGGAAATAGAGTTGGGTGTGGCAGTGCACACCTGCAATCTCAACACTTGGGGAAACTGAGGAAGCCTGCTGTAAGCTTGAGGCTGTCCTTGGCTTCCTAGTAAATTCCTAGGCTACAGAATAAGACCCTTTCTCAAAACGGCAACCTAAGAAAGCACAGATATAAGCTGGGCCTCATCAAAATTCATGACTTTGTGTTTGAAAGGACACTACCAAGACAGCGAAGACAACTATAGAATAGCAGGGAGCACCGACGAGCGGTGTTTGGTCGGGCTTCTATTCAGTGTACTACTGTAAGGATGTAACTGAACTTTTTGTATACTCTTCAACTGCAAAATGAGGGAAATGTTTGACTAAGTATTACCCAAGAGAAGGTACACAAGGGCCAGCAAACACACCGGGGGGAAAGTGGGTCTGTGGCTGGTGGGCAGGGAAGGTGGAACCACGTGGCTAAAATGTTTTGAAGTTAAGAAATAACTGGTAGTCATGGAACACACTAGAAAAACCATTCCGGGTCATTGATGAACGAGGTATTAGAAAGGAGCCCTCTCCCACAGTGCAAAGCAACCCTGAAGACTTAGAGGCAGGGTGTGGCGACACACAGCACGGGAAGGCTGAGGCACGCGCACTGAGCACCGTGTCACAAAGCGAAACAAAGATGCCTCTAAGAAGCTGCAATAAAAACCCTAACTTGGCATTTCTGAGAGTGACAAACTCTCTGGTAAGTGTTTTTCAAACTGTGGGTCAGGACCAGTCGATTGAAATCAATTTCATGACTCAGAATATGAATTTAGGATGTGAAACAGAACAGAAAATACCAGGCTGCAGAAACACTGGGAGATAAGCGGTTTCCACAAAGCATGAGGCTTGTCTGTTACACGTTTCTCCCTCTGAGTCAGGGCAGAGTGACTGAAGAGCACGTAAAACAACAAAGCATCTTGCATCACTTACCATGGTATAAAATTCCAGCTCTCTCGGGCCCCGAGGCGGTGGCTGTAGCTGTTTCAGAACTGTACCGTCTGGGTGTTGGAGTATGCCTGCGCAACAGAAATCAGGCGACGGTCAGTGCTTTGCTTATGGTCCCCTGCTTCGCAGGGACATCTGCTCCTGAAATGGAGGCCAGCTGCTTTCATACTTGTAAAGGCTTACTGTTACTTGTTGCAGGAATTCTAGCATTCAACCAACACTTTCAATGCTGTTACAAAGAGACACCAGTGCTTTGGGGGGAAGCTTCACCCCAGCCCCTGGCATCCATACACCCAAAGAGTCTGGGGTGTTATGTGGAAGTTCCACTCAAGCCCTCCTCCCCTATCTCTCTCCAAACCCTGCTGCATCTCAGAAAGCAGGCCAAATGATGACCCCTCCCCCAGAGATGTTCAAGACCACTCCCACTGGGTATTTAAACTGCCTCCCAGAAAACAGACTTGTGGTTTTTCCAGTCTCTCTTTCCTGTCTCCTCTCTGGGGGGCTGGAAGGCTATCCGGGAGTGGGAGTGTTGTATCCATTAAACATGGGCTTTCTCTAACTTAGTTTGATTTGGTCTGATTGGGTTGCTGCATCGGTGGAGAAGCTTATCGAGGTGCAAACTTTTCAGACACCACACTCTTAAGCTTTATTATCTTCAATTCTTCCCCCTTAAGGAGATTGATTCTCTTATGGTCCCTGGTTTTTCTAGAAACTTCTCAGTAATAGATTTTCAATGAAATGTTATGATTAAGTAAAGAAAACAAAAGCAGTAACACAAATCCAACTCATTTTTATAAACAAGAAAAAATGTGTGTTTACAGTAGCCATATACGAATTTCATACTTGGCAAGGTTTTATAACTCTCTCGTCTTCCCAGCTCAGATGTACTGTGTGTACGCAACTGTGCAAGGTCCCAGCCTGGAGCAGTCACGGATGCCTTTTTACAATCTGTCCACGCAACATAAGATCCTTATTCCAAGTCCCCACACGCATGCCAACACTGGCACAATCCATGCTAGTACCAGCACTCATTACACATTGAAATCTTAAATCTTTTTTTAAAGATTTATTTATTATACATATGTGTATGTCTGTAGGCCAGAAGAGGACACCAGATCTCATTACAGATGGTTGCTGGGAATTGAACTCAGGACCTCTGGAAGAGCAGCCAGTGCTCTTAACCTCTGAGCCATCTCTCCAACCCCGAAATCTTAAATCTTTATCTGTTGGGATTTCACAGAACCATAACAGTTGGGACATAATTTCACTGAGAATTTTATAAGATACTGCACTTGTATCTATACTGCTTTTTGGCATGTGACATCAACTTTTTTGTTATTGTTTCTTTTCTTTGATTTTTTTTGAGACATGGTTTCTCTGTGTTGTAGCCTTGGCTGTTCTGGGATTTGCTCTATAGACCAGGCTGGCCTTGAACGCACAGAGATCTTCCTGCCTCTGCTTCCAGAGAGCTGGGATTAAAGGCATGTGTCACCACCACCCAGCTGTGACATGAATTTAACAGTGGTAAAAATGCATAAAGATTCAAAGCAGAAGTCTAAGATCTAGACACCAACAGGGCAGAAGGAGATAGTAAGCTACGAGTTCCAGGACAACCTCCAAAGCAATAGAGAAATCCTGTCTCAAGAAATAAAAGGAGGGGAGAAGCTTGGCTGTTGAGCAGATGTGGGGACTTCAGGATTGGTCTAATGTAACTAAAAACAACTAGAGAGAAGCCTGTTTGTGAAGATGAGAATTTAGGGTGAGATTGGACTCTACTCCTGCACCTATGGAAAACGACAGATGCATAAACACTTGGGTTGAATTGCAGAGGGAAAACCCAAGGCATCAATCAACATCCAGGAGAGCAGCACATCTGGTCCCTTGCCTCTCTTGGCAGGTGCCAGTTCTGTGCGATTGGGAGCTTCCCAGACACACTTTATTTACAAGCAGCCATCAGGCAACTGCAGCCAGATGTGTGAGGTAGCAGACTGGATCCAAGACTACGAGCCCAGAGGGACAGACCTGTGGGTCCGACAAAATAATCCACGTTTTCATAATCTCAGTCCCAGGTGAATGAAGTCAAGATCCAACTGAAGTGAGGCATCTAAGATCAAAGCTAAGTGGCAACCAGCAAGCTCCACGCTGCTGGGAGAGTGGCCATTAACTAAGATGCTGCACGGCTCTCCCGAGCTCTGCAAAGAGGAGACAGCCTCCGGAGGGGAAAACCGAACCATCCACCCTGCTTCCCAGTGTTCTGGGAGCAGGAATGCCATGTGTTCAATAGCAAATTACGATGCATACCGAAGAACAGGAAGAACGGGGCATAATCCACAGAAGCTGATGCAAGACGGCCACATGATTATAATTAGGAAGCAAGCATGTTCAACAAAATCCTGGGTATGCTACAGAAATTAGAGAAAAGTGCAGAGTCTGAGAAAACCCAAGGAAATTCCAGACCTGAAAAACAGCACACGAGAAGCAGACAATTTGGGGGGAGGGGGTGTAAATCAAATTATCATAGAAGAAAAGAGCAAAATGAACTTTAAGAGATGCCAACAGCTAGTGGGACACCAAGGATGGCTGAGAAAGGACTGCCACAAGTTCAAGGTCAGCCGGAGAAACTGATCAACACCCTGTCTCAATATAAAAGGGAAGTTGGATGTGGTGGTGCATGTCTGGGAGGCAGAGGCAAGCAGACGTCTGAGTTCTAGGCCAGCCTGATCTACACAGCAGGTTCCAGGACAGCCGGGGTTACAAAGAGCCCTTCCCCCCAAAAATAAAGAAATAAAAGTAATAATAATAAAGGAAAAGGGACAGACATTGCTGGCACACACATGCCTTTAAGCCCAGCTCTGAGTCCCAGGCCAGCAACAACCAAGTATACCTAGGGAAGGGGCAGGGACATGTGAGGCTCCACTCTGAGGCAGGGGGTTACAAGGGGAAGACAGTAAAACAGCTGAGAGCAATGATCTGTTGAGGTAGCCACACCCGAACTTACATCTAAGGCCTGTTTCAAAGCCACGTGGCTCGAAGTTGACGAGTCAACAGCAGCTGCGTAACAAAATGCCTCGGATGGTGCCTGAGATAAGCCAGTCACAGAGCCAAGTACTTCTGGATTCCTCACCCTTGAAGCATCTAATGGGTTCACACTCTTAGAAAGCAGAACGGTGGCTGACACAGGCTAGCAACAAGGACAGGCAAGTGTTCGGCAGGGATGGAGGTCTCAAAGATGAAGGCATCCCAGAGCCCCAGACTGGGGCAGGAGAGCCTCTCAGCAGCTGGGACAGCCTACTGCTGTGCAGGTGCCAAGTTCAGGTCCCAGCACTCCATCAGGTGGCTCCCAACTGTCCGTCACTCCAGTTCCAGGGGACCTGATGCCCTCTTCTGCCTTCCACCAGCAACTGCACACACAGTGCAAACTCATGAAGGTACAAATACACACATACAAAAAACAATACATTAACAAATATTAATTTACAGTTCTCAGACTGATGCTATTGTGTGCTCTGATGGTAAGTTCCATACTGTGCCTTTTACCACAATAATCACTGTTGAAAAAGCTCGACATTTCAGTGAGCATTCAGAAAGATTGTAACTACACGTTAAAATGTCCGGTATGGTGGCACATGCTTTTAATCCCAGTACTCTTGAGTTCAAGGCCAGATTGGCCTAGCAAGCTCCAGCGTGATACTCTCCCTATCTCAAAAACAAAAACAAAAACAAAAAAATCCAACAACCACAAATTGACAAAACAAATCTATGTGGAAGGAGCATTCTAGGTAATTTTAATTTTCATCTTTATGTTTTCTTCCTCCCAGAAATTATCATAAACATATATTAGGGAGCTAGAGAGATGGCTCAGAGGTTAAGAGCACTGGCTGCTCTTCCAGAGGTCCTGAGTTCAATTCCCAGCAACCACATGGTTGCTCACAACCATCTGTAATGAGATTTGGTGCCCTCTTCTGGCATACACACATACATGCAGACAGAATGCTGTATACATAATAAACAAACAAATCTTGGCCAGGCATTGATGGCACATACCTTTAATCCCAGCACTCAGGAGTCAGAGGCAGGCAGATCTCTGTGAGTTTGAGACCAGCCTGATCTACAAGAGCTAGTTCCAGGACAGCCTCCAAAGCCACAGAGAAACCCTGTCTCAAAAAAACAAAACAACAACAACAACAAAAAACATGTATTAGGGTCTTTTTGTGTGTGTGTGTGTGTATGTGTGCAGTTTGTTTTTTTGTTCCTGGCTGGCCTGGAACTCAAGTAACCTATCTGTTTCTGCCTCCAGAGTCCTGGTACTAAAGGCATATACCACCACCTAAATGGCTTTTATTCTCAGATGGGCCACTATAAATGGCTAACGCATAATCCTTTTTTTATTAGAAATAGAATTGTATCACAGAAAACAAGCATATACTAAAAGAAATGCATCTTCTACCTAAGGTAATTATTATAATATGTTATTTAAAAATAATGAGAGATCATAGAAATATGACAAGACTAAGATGTTGTAAAATAAATTTTAAAATTTAATCCACAGCCAAAGACAACTTGGATCCTAAATACATGGGGGAAATTAAACCTCTGAACACTTCAAATATAAAGACAAAGGTGGGTTATAAGTAAAAAAAAAAGAAAGAAAATGAGATTGGGGTCATACTCCATGGGCACAGTGTTTGCCTACAGCGTGAGGCCTTGTTGAGCCTTCCAATGGGAAAGGAAGGATGGGAGTCAGGCTGGACTTGCAAACTCCAGTCACAGCTGGACTATGATGGCACAAACAGCACATCACATGGCAAGCTCCATGAGTGTGTGTGTGTGTGTGTGTCTGTCTGTCTGTGTTTGGGAGGAGCGGGTTTGTGGGTACCCTGAAGAGTTCAGAAGAGGACATCAGATCCTCAGAAATTGAAGCTACAGCAGTTGTGAGCTAACTGAAGTGGATGCTGGGAAATCGACCTTAACCACTGAGACTCAAGGAAAGAAATCTTTTCATATTTAAGAAAGACATTTCATAACAAGGTTGGTTGATACAAAATTATAGATGTGTAATAGAGCTTAACAC